CGCGCGCAGCTGCCGCAGCCGCTGTGGAGCGCGGTCGGGGGCCCGAGATCTGAGCCGAAGGTCTGGTCTGAGGGTTTTTTGTATTACACCCTGGGAACACACCCTGAAATGACCCAGAATGGTACAAAAGAACACGGTTTTATCCGGAAATGTGCCTAGATGGGATCAATGCCCAGTGGGTTTAAGAGTTGGGAGACTGGCAACCACTGAAGGGGTCTCCAGGAATTATTTTAGCAAACAATAGTAGTTGAATTGCAAAGGGGAATTGCAATCGAGGTCAGGTGGATTTCCATTTTGCACTTCTAGATTGCAACAGCTTTGAGCTGGGCTTTCATTTAGCAATTTCAATTAGTGACGGCAGCAACGGTCAATGCTGAATGGCATTGCTCCTGCAACAATGATGCCCTCCTTCACTGAGCGTGTTTGCTATGTTTTGTTATTTTTTTCTAATCTTGGCCAGCGCTTGGCGAACGCATTTGCAAAAGTTGCAATATTTAGCAACCCTCTCGTGGTTTTGGCCGCCTGGAAGCTCCTTTTGCGAGAGGGTTGCTAATTTTTGCTATTTGTTACTATGTTTTACTATTTGTTACTAATGTTTGCTATTTTTTGCAAATTTTAACCAGGGCTTTGCGAACGCATTTGCAAAAAATAGCAATCTTTGGTAACCCTGTCGTGGTTTTGGCCCCCTGGAAGCTCATTTTGCGAGAGGGTGTAATACAAAAACCTAAGATGTGGGGAGATGGGCGCGTCGATTTTGCTGGCTGGTGCTTAGTAGAGGATGAGGGAAATTTAGGGGTCCCCTTAAAGGAAGCCACGGGGGATGGTTGGTGTTTTGGGAATATGGATGGTGAAGGGTTAGGATTGATTCTGGGTGATCCATCATCCACCATCCGTCATCCACCCAAGATTCTTCTTGGTTTTCTTTTGCGGCTGGTGCTCTAGGCAGCGCAGGGAAATTTGATGGTCCCCTGAAAGGAACCAGCCAGTTGGATAGAACCGAGCACCACCAAGTTGTTGTTGTTGTTGTTTTTTTTTTGGGGGGGGGGGCAACATGGCGCAACAGTTCTCCTTTTGGGCCCGGGAAAAAAAAGCCAGCCGGGCAAAGGCACCTCTTGGTAACAATTGATGCCATGGGAAGCCAACGAACACCGTTTTCGTGATCAAACAAGTCATGGCTGGTCTCTTTGCGACCCAACTGTTTCCACACGGAACCTCCTCAAGGTCCCCCAGTAGTGCCCTTTAACCCTTTTTTGGGGGAGGGTTCCCCTACTAAAATAGACTACAGCAAAATCGGGTACTCTATTTCTGACCTCTCCGCTGGAGGACCTAGTCCTTTTGCTCACCGGGCGGGAAATTTGCTGAGGGCTCCCAGCAAACCCGTGAAACACAATTTTCCGCGAATCGTGTCAACGGGTCCTATTTTGACACAGACCCAGGTATACGTAGACACCCTTTTGGAAGGGAGGAGAAAGGGAAGCCAGGCTGAAACCCCCAAAAGGAAACCTTTCCGAATGAACAAACGCTGAAACTATTGGGAAAGGACACTAAGGGTTTTGTCATATTCGCATTTGAAGCCCATGTTCGCGGCTGCTTCCTGTCTATTGCTTTGTGCATTTGCTGGACACAATCTTGTGTGCTTGGTCATTTGGCTACGTGGTTTGAGCTTCCTTTGTGGTTGTTTGTTTCAGCTCGCCCAGCTCAGCAAATACTGCTTGGACGCCTGCAAATACTCCTTGGGACGTCTGCAACTACTGCTTGAACATCACATGCCGAAAACCAGAGCAACGCACGCTTCAATGTCATATTTGTGAATCAGTTGCAACATTCAGTATGACGTACCCCGACATGTCCGCAGCTAAACGGAATGTACCAATCAAACTCCCTCGCACATAGACCAAATCAGACTTTTCGGCCATGTCTGGTGGTTGGCAGCTCGTCTTTCTACCTGCTGGTGGATACACAGTTTTTCTCAGGAGCTTTCATGCAACTTATGTGTCAATGTATACCCAATGATCGCCGCAGTCGACCCTCTTGGGATGATTGATCCGACTGCAACCTCCAGACACCACAGAGATATTGACCCACTGGCGAATCTGACATTCCCAGCCCAATGTATGGAATGGGGCCGCGAGCCCCCATGCCCTTGGTGCGCACAAGCGAAATTATGTTTTCCCAGCTCGGTCGGATCTACAAAAGTTTTTTGAGTTCCATACATCAATTCGTCCAAATTGGTGTATCCAAAGAAAACACCCACAAAGTGCTCGGGTTCCTTGTAGTTCTCCTTTTTTAAAACCAATGTTTTTTTTCTTGGACTCTTGGATTCCTTGGTGGCTCCCAGCCATCTGGTTCCTTAGCCTTTCAGCCTTTAGTGTTTAGTGGTAGTTTCCGAATTTAACCCACTAAAAGTTCTCAACTTTTAGCGGGGGATCTGAAATCGGGCAGCCCAGTTGAATGACGCCTCGGACGACTTTTGCAGGGTTCCTTGTAGTCTTCCTTTTTTATAACTTGTTTTTTCTTTTGTTTTCTATTTTGTTTTTTCTTCTTTAGTTTTTCATGTAGTTGTCCATGTTTAAAGCCGTTTTCTCCCCGGCGTTCTCTGAGGCTCTTGGCTTCCCGGCCGCCCCCAACAACTCGGGGCACGCCGCGCGAGAAATTCGCCGCAGGTGGCCCTGGCGCTGGGCCAGCTGAACTCCAAGCAGCAGAAAGTTCTGAAAGACCTCAAGGTGGAGCTCGCGGCAGGCGCGGCGGCGCGGAGACGGCGGCGGTTCTCGACCGTTTTTTTGTTTTGTTTTCGCCGCTCGCGCGTTTTCGCCACGGTTCTTTTATATATATATATATATATGACGTCTTAAGTTGTTGTTGTTGTTTTAAGGGCGGGCCTTGCTTGCTATACAGGTAAATGAATCCGCTGGGCTTGTGGGGCTGTGATTCTTTGCTGACGTGCTGGTGAATTGTGAATTGTGAATTGTTCCCCACACAAATGGCACCTGGACAATTATTAGCGAGTCGAGTACTTTCAATGCTCGTCAGGGTTTGCATACTTCCTGTGGAACATGCATATGCAGAACCCCGCAGTAAGAATCCCTTGGTGAGAGGTCTGCTTATGCTCCTGGCAAGGTAATAGACAAGAGGCAAACATTGAGACTTCTTTGGATACGACCTGCTCCCCTTACATGGGTCTTGGGTCTGACCAAGCCCCAGCCTTGCTTAGCAAGTCAGTTGATGCTTCAAGGGAGGCCTGGACTCCATGTATGGTTTCCGCACTTCCTGAGTTCATGAACTTTAAACTTTTTGGGAAGACCATTTTAGTGGGAAATATACAGTTTGAACTTTTTTGGGGCCATCCACTCAGCCAGCGAGTTTCAATGGAGATGGACAGCGGGCAAGTGTGGAGGAATGCACTGCGCAGTTTGATACCCGTGACTTTTGCTCAGCAATGGGATGCCGCAGATGACAGAGTTCGACGGGCGCTTGGAATCGATTGCTTCCTGGAAAATCAGTCAGACAATGTAAGGGCAAATGTAGGACATGTACGAGATCTTAGTTCGTGAGTGCCATACAACATGACTGCGTGAGTCTGGGGATTGTCAGGGAGGACAATTCTCAGGACAATTCTCAGGAACCCATGAATGCCATTCAAATCGGGGACGGGGTCAGGTTCAAACGTTCTCGTGTCCAATGAGGGAGCAGATCTCTTGCGTTTTCCTTGAAAACAAGCCCAACAAAAGTGCCGCCAAGCAAAAACACACCCATTTGTCAAAAAGTAGGGACCTGTTGTGGGGCCGTCTTCATTTTTTGTTCGGGGCAGAATGAGTATGCCCAGTTTCGGGTTGGTTTACCTTTCCATCCAAAAGGTAAAAAGGTATCCAAGTTGAGGTCTCTAATTTTACCTTTCCATCCATCAAAAGGTGACACGAGGAAAAAAACAGGTCCCTAACTTGACGTCTTGAACGACGCCTCGCACGACTTTTGCAGGCTTCGATGCAGATGCTTACAGAGACACCCTTGCAAGCAAGGTGGGGCGGAGCGCGTCCCGGTTTCGGGTTGGCTCAAAAAGGGAGCACCCCCAATGGACACGCGTTACCCCAAACAGGGTGCCCTCAAAACCGTTCTTAGTATAATTTCCTGTTCAACCACAGGGTCGTGCAGTTCATATGTCAAAACGAGTGCAAGCATCATTGGTTGATTTGCCCGCCCTGTGGTAGGAGTTGTTTGTTTGATCGCGGTATGGGCAACGGTCGATATTGACCATCATTTGCTGCAAAGTCCAAGTTTAAAATGGAGGCACCAAATATGAACCGTGGCAGCAGGGTATTTCCCAACTAGATGTGGAGAAATAAGCAAGACTCCAAAATCCACCAGGGATACTTAGAGACATGAACAAACAAGGGATCGATCCACGGAGAAGTTCCCTACCAGACCAGTTCAACATCCACCGAACTATCCACCTGAACCGCCACCCAGCGGATTCATTTGCCTGTATAGGTAAGCAAGGGCTTGCCACCCTTTAAACACCAAAAGGAAACTAGCTGGTTATTTTCCTACTACAAGGGCTTGCCTGGGATTCATTGGGTTTTTTCAAGGCTAAAAAGGGCCACAAAACAACCCTAAGACGCCCTAAAACACCCTAAACCACCCTCAACCCTAAGCAAGCCCAAACACTAAACCCGCCCTAAACCAACCTTCTGTCGGGTGCCATGTTAGTGGGAGGGAGGGAATCCACGTCCTCACCGGCGTTCCCGAGTCCTGGACCGCGAGGTGGCGGCGGCCGAGCACTTGCCGTTGGCCGACTCGCGCGGCCGCATCCCCAAGCGGGACAAGGGCTACTCCTGGTGCCGAAGGCGGAGCCGCGGAGCCGCGGAGCTGCGGAGTGGGGGACATTCGGAATTCGGTGGGTTTGCTAGGAGTTAACGTGGCCGCCTTGTTTGGCGATTTTATAGGATATACTATCAGTTTCTCTCTTTTTTTGGGGGGGCGGGGTGCTTCAAAGGGCAACCAAAGGAGACCACCCATTTTGGGAGGTGCGCGTGCTGTTTTGAGACATGTGCAATGTGCTTCGGGGCAGCACTGGACAGGCGAGGAAGGCAGTCAGAGCTGGCGCCGACGGTCGGCCAAACTTGATTTCAAGCTTCTTTGGGGTCCGGCAGCTGAAAAGGACTGTGAAACAGACGGATGGCAGATGTTCGGCGGGAAGATGTTTGATTCTGACGATTTTGACGATTTGTGCGACGCGGAGCTCTTGTTCCAGGCCGCGAGGCGCTTTGACCGGTTTCGGGGTTGGAAAGATCACCGTAGCCTGAGATGGCTCAGGGGATCTCCTAAACGCAGGGACCCCCTTTTCGATGTTTCAAGGGAAGCCCAAAAAGAAGCTGACGGCTCTCAACAGCAGCCTGCCCTTAGACAGGTCGTTTCCCCCAAGCACACGGAGTGATATTCTTTTGGAAGACCAGTTCAGTAGCAGTTTGCGTAAAGTCCCATCCGCTCGTCGTGTGATGTTGCGGCCCCACGCGTTTTATTGGTTCCTTCGGCAGGGACAATGACGCGGACGCTCGGCTTTTCCGACTGGAGGCGTCACTTGCAGTCGCTTTGCGCCGAATGTTGTGTTGTGGCTCAAACAAAACGGAATTCCAAAATGGGTTGCCCTGGTAAGTGGAAACATGGACCAAAACCTGCGGTTTGCCCCTCCTGCTCAATTTTGAGCCACACCCTGTTGTGTTGAGGGGTTTGGTTTGAAAGGAGGGCATGGCCGGAACTCTGCTCCAAACAGCTCAAGTGGAAGTACTTAGACCCCGAGCAAGGCGGCTCTTGCAATTGTTTTTGTGTTGAAGGCTTCCATTGACCAGAGATGCTTCCATTTGCTTAACAGTATGTTTCCTTGTTGGTTTTAAAGGGAATCTATCACTGCTGGAAATATGTTTCCAGGTTGCTTAAGCAACTGGAAGGATGATGCCTTTTTCCGATTGCCTTTTCAATAATGGTCGGGTCGGGTGCCCATGAAGGGTGCTGGCTACCTTTTTGACTGACTCACATGTTTAATGCTGAGCAGGCCGATTCCGATCACTATGAGGTGAGCGCCTGTCTTTTCTCACAGAAGGCTAAAGTAAAGGACAGGCGGACACATCTTTTGGGTCACGTTCTAGGGATTGATTCCCCATTCTGTTCAATCGTTGTTCTTTTCAAAAACCATCCATTTTCCATGGGTTTCCCTAGAACGAAGGATTGCTGGCAAGAATGAGGCAGGTACCCCTAGATCTTTTGGGTAACATACTGAATGAAGTGCAACACGAGATAGGAACACCCCCACATGGGGGCTTGATGCTGATGTACAGGTGGTTGAGATCACAAACACCTGCGACGTTGGAAGACAAGGGCAATGAGTCCAAACGGGTTGAGGCTTGGAGAACGAGGTAGGAGCACCCGACCGTTCAACCAGATAGCAAATAACTGCCGCAGCTCAGGTAAGCAAGGGAAGACATCACAGTGCAATACTGTAACATGATTGCCCATGATGATGGCATCACTGAAAGCACACGTATTGGGAATGTGTCAGTAGTTGAAGTCATTGACATGTTTGGTGGGTGAGTTGTGCGAATACGGCTTCTTGGTTTTTCATTTCGCTGCACAAAGTGACTGCAGCTATTGCTGAGACTGGCTAAAAAGGCTTCAGTGCTCTTGGCATGTTGTTGTTTTTTGGTTCTGTTCATTTTGCAGGGGGCTGCAAACCACATACCAAGGGTTGTGAAGGTGGAGAACCCCTGATCACTGAGACTCGGAGATTTGTCGGAAGGATGGTCCTTCGGAGATGGTCTTTGAGAAGCGCCAATCATAAGGAGCTCAGCTCAGAAACGGGTCTTTTTGCTTTTTCAATGGGGACTCTCCGCCCCCCCCCCCCCCAAAAAAAAAGAATAATACATATAATACGATAAACAATAAACACGAGTCTGTTTTTTTTTTTTTTTTCTGTTGGTTTGCCTGTAAAACCACCAAACAAGGGAGATGCCTTCAACATACAAACAAGACGATATCTTCTTTCCAGTTAGTGCGTTGTATTTTGTTTGGCAACACACTCTGTGGGCCTACAAGGATATCATATACTTAGTATAGGAATATATGGGGGTTGATCAATATTCCGTTCGGCCCTGAATGAGTAACTCTTCCCATGTGGGGCATATCATTTCTTTATGGGTTTCTCCCGTGTATTTTGGAGCCTTTGATCACCCCCCATGCACTGCCATGCAGGCTTACATTGGTTGTACGCATGAGTCATCACGACGTTAAGGCTCCTTGTTTGGATCCGTGGGTGGCACAAACTACCTCAAGTTGGTTGGATCCGGGGCTCATGGAAGGAAGACATCACAAGATTCTTGCCTTCAGATCAGAGTCCCTTCGCAAAATGGCGGGGGCCTCAGTTTGGGGATGCTAGGTGAGGCTCGCACCCCAATAAGTGTCACGCACATGTTTTGCTCCAGTATTCTTGGTCAACAAATTGGTGTGTCCCCCAGATGAATGGAACCCAAAGCTGCTCTTGGTTTCCCTTTAACCATCATCTACTGAATCCTTTCCCTCAACCCGAGTGAGCTCCGCCAGACCTTTCTTCTCACGCAGCGGGCAGTGCGGCACTCGGGCACTCGGGCACCCGGGCACTCGGGCACTCGATAAAAGCGCCACTCCCCAGAAACGGCTGGGATATTTGTGTTCACCTTGGGTTGTCCTGTAGACCTTTGGTGTTTGCCAAGTGTGGGCTGTAAATTGACAATTGCTTCCTTCAGTTTTAAACGACATGTTGTTTCCGGGGTCCTGAAGTCTAGGCAACGCTCAATTGTTTTGGTCAGCGTAAAGTGGTGCACATGTGGACCGCGCTCACATGGCAATAGACGAGTTGATACATCTACCGCGGTTTACGAGCCCGACAAATCTGTTCGGCAAGTCATGCGGCCGTACATTCCGGTGCTGGTGGTTCGCAGTCAACTCTTTGTGATTGCCAAGCATAGCCACACTGCGCAAACCCTTTTCACCGTTTTGGGCCCTTTTTTCCGGGAGCCGCCATCAGAATCATCAGAGCGGTAGAAGTAGATGCTTTGGAGCTGCAGAGTGGCATGAAAGGCACCTTTTTTTGCTAAGGCCTACATGCGGACCTTCAAAGTGTCTCCAACACAGGCCGGAGCTTGTATGCGAGACGAGCTGGCGTAGGTCAAGCTCATGGCAAGTTTGAAACAGACATTGCGGCTTTTCAAACTAAACTGCGATTCCCACACAATCCATTTAGAGTATTTACCAACAATTGACCCATTTGGAGGGTAAACCCAGCTGGGTAAATGTAAATGTGGGTATAGATATTTCATGCATTGTGTGAGATTGTTCTACGGGTTGATTCTCCATTCTCTTCACCCATCATTCTGCTCTGAAACCACCTATTTTCGCTGAGTTTTGATCCAGATTCGAAGAGTCGGATTCCTGACCAGAATGGCAAGGGTACGACTACCATTCTAACATGTCTGAAGGCAAAGGTGACTGGTGGGGCTTTTCAACTCTTACTCTTCTTTTTTTTTCAAAATTACAAGTATCGAAGTAAAGCGAGGCTTTGGAATTGATGACCGTGCCTCTTCTGCCCCTTTGCAATGTGGTAGGGGCTCAGGAACTTCGATTTGCTGTGGCGGTGGCTCAGCGGGGGGTGATATCGTGTTCCCATCTGTCGCTCTGTTTCAACCTCGCGTTTTCGGACATTCGGATGCTTGCAGGAAGAGCAGAGATCCACTTTGAAGGGCTCCTTTTACAACGCTGGGACGAGTGACACAGACCCTCCCAATTCACAGGGAGCTTGACGGTCGGGGGGGTTCTGGTTTGGAGCATTTTCCTTTGAAAGTTTGACCCTCTGTCAGTTTCCATGTGAATTGGTGGGAGGCTAGGCGTCTTCGTTTTCGATGTCGCGCCCTCGGGGCCAGACTTTGCCAGGAGGTCTCCTTGAACTCCATCGACAAGATGCTCGCTGGAACGCAGGCAGGGCTTTTCTTCCCATGCGCGGATATTCGCGAAAACCCGAGCGCGGTCGGAGGAGGGCAGCACCATAGGTGTCTAGGTCCCCCAGTTGTGCCATTTTAACCCCCGTTTTTGGATGGGAGGGTTCCCCTCTCACATAGACTACAGAAACAAGGAGACCCTGATGTCCTTTTTGGTTCTTGTGGTCGAAACATAGATGGGTTTCGATTCCCGGTTTCCCCGGTGGTTTCGGGCCATCTACCAGGGCCTGTGCGGTCTGTTGCAACCGGATTGATTCCGCCCACCACTTGTTTCGGCTTTTTTGGGGGGTAAGGGTTCGTTCCGAGTCCTCTAAGCTCAAGCAACACAACAGGGTGCCCTATGTTTTTTTTGGGGGGGGAAATCCACTGGCCATCTGAGTGTTGAGCAAACTCGGGGTCAACACAAGGACTTCCATGCGACTCACAAGAACCATTTGATTCGCCATCAAAGCTTCGCGCAATCAGGGATTCGAGTCTTCTATTTGCCAGCTACAGCTTATCTACAGCTTTTGGAGTCTGGACCTTGCAAGATATTCAAGGAACGCATTGCTTGGCGTTTGATGCGCCCCTTTCTTCGGTGTGTACATGAAGACATTCTTGTTCGCTTCAGGACTATGGATAAGGATCAGCATCCGGCGCCAGCAGTTGCTGTTTTTTTTGGACCCTGTGAAAACTGATGGATAAACCACGGCTCACGCGAGTTGTGAAGATTTTGTCGATCCACTCCGTAAGGCTCGGAAAAAAAAAAGAAAAAAAAACCACACAAAAACACCAAAAAAAAGTCCGTGCCCGGAGTTGCCGCACCAAGATCCAGGCAGTAGAATTTCAGACGCCTGAAATGGACTCGCGCCCTGACTTTCCGGAGTTGCTCTATAGTTCATACTTGTGGGGAAGACCATTGGGTGGTACATGAAAAGTTCGGAGTGGTTTTTGGATGAGGCAGGCCATCAACAAGCAGAGAAACGCAGCCCTTGAGGCCCTTTGGTTAGGAGGCGAGGGGGGGTGACCATGAGGAAGTGTTTTTGAAATTTGGTGTTGGAACTGTCAGTCCACGCACACAACGCGACAAGAAGGACAACACATGAACGCAGGAGGTCCATCTAAAACTCCCTTGGAAGGGTTGGTTGGGGAAATGGTTCCAACCCAACGGAATGGTAACCAGCACTCCAAAAGCGCCCCCAAATGAACGGGGCCCCCTGCTACTTGCGCGCCCTTTTGTCTTGGCCTTTTTGCCACCAGGGTTGTGGGATCAAGGGGTTTCTCCCCACTTCTGTGATACAAGGGAATCCCCCTTTATATGAACAAAGTAGTCTTTGGGAAGCCTTTTCTGTTGTATCACAGAAGCGGAGTCCATTCCCCACAGCCCATAGCCGCTGACCGGCAAACAGCCAGACCCAACCAGACCCAAGCCCGCAGCTCTAAGCCAACGAAGCCCACGAGATGTGCTTCGAGCCCACGACAGCGGCAAAAGCTTCGAAGGGCTGGAATCGAATCGTGCACGCCGTGAGAGTTGCTTTGTCCAGAGGGTTTTAGGTCAAGATCCGGTTCAGT